AACATTGTAAATTCTGCCTCATACTGAGAAACAGATCGGTCTCCCTGAACCAATCTGTTGAACTTATCCTGCATCTGTCTTCTGGCTGTCATAGGCACATACCAGCCTCTGAACACTTCCACAAACTCCTCTCAGGAGACTTGGCTGCTTGGTATTCCCTCGAGTATTTCTTATAACTGACTCCTCCACCACCTCTCAGCCTTGCCATCAAAGGCATAAGCAGCCAATGTCACCCTCCTATCCTCTAGGCAAGACATGCCCTCAAGGATCTTCTCAATCCGCTTTAGCCAGTCCTCAACTTCTATAGGCCCATCACTTGAGAATAGTGGAGGCTTCATATCCTGAAATAATTTCAAGTTCTTATCCATAGGTCGAACTCCACTTCCACTGCCACTGGCCTGATTTTGGGAAGTCCTAATCATCTGAGTCATCGCTTCCATCATCTGAGTGAATGACTCCATACTATTGTTCCTCTGAGGTTCTGCTACTTCTGGTAGCTCCCTCCCTTCCTCCAAATTAATGTCATCAGTGGCATTCTGCTCAGGATCCATATCCGTGAGATAAAACACATCAATTATAAGGCGCATAATTCATAAAATTACACTTCCTAAACATCCTATGACTCAATCAATCATTCTATAGGCTTTTTCATTGATTATTACTAAACCTTTGCTCTGATACCACTCTTGTCACGACCCGGCTCGGCTAGCCTGTCGATAACGGGGCGGGAACAGACAATCGTACGGAAGAGCATATAAAGCATAATCAAATTCATTATAAATTTAAACTCAGTACACAAAGTATCATCCATTATTAAAAGAAAGAGCCACTAAGAAACATCAAACTGTTCTTCTGTCACACAACTATTAAAAACTTTTTAAACATCAATTACATTACATAAGCTCTCACCATTTCATAAACTTCAAACTCACGAACTACAGAAACAAACTCAAAGACTAAAACTTAAAACATAAAATGGAACCTTTCTTCCTGAGGTCCCCTATGACGATACGTGTACGGTCGTCGTGCAGCCATCACTTCTCTGCTGAAAAATATTTCCAAACGAGGAATGAGTCAACGCTCAGCAGGTAGTTCATATCTCAATTAATTTTATAAGATGCATAAATAAAACACTTTTACAATTAGAACTAATTTATTTCATATCATTTTGCAGGTCACAACCTTTAAACTTTTCAATTTTTCTTGCATTTTTCTTTCTTTAACATTTCATTCATTTCAGTTTTTTTTTCTTTCACCTTTTTCATATGCAATGAAAATAAAAAATTATTATGCTAAATGTATCTCCCGTCTCGGAAGTACCTTTATTCGTACTGATCAGGTACGCAGTCAAATTTTGGTCATTTCCTTTACCATTGGTTCATAAGAACCATCCTTTACCATGGCTCATATGAGCCTCCTTTACCAATGCTCGAAAGAGCTTCTTTACCAATTTGACACTTCCGGATCAACATGCAAAATGAAATTGTTATTGTTTTTAAATCTTTGAATCATGCTCAATTTTCTTTCATATTTATTTCATTTATTTATATACCTTAATGCTTTTCAAATAATGCATGAAATGAAAGCATGATACTGTAGGATATTTTTTTTATCATGAATATCAAAATATTTGACAGTAAATAAAATATTTTGATAGTAACATAAATACATGAAATTGCATTCTAAGCATAAATAAAATTAAACACTTATAAAATTAAATGGGGTATGAACACCTACCTCAAATCAAGTACGGTACGTCGTTTCTACCAAAATTCTTTCACCTTAAACTTCGACGATCACTACCTAAGAAATTTACAAAAACGACGTCATATAATTTGAATAACCTAAATCCTAAGTTTAAATCTCTCATTTCCCCTTAACTATTTCTTAATATACTTAATGAATTTTTAATTAAATAAATCTAAATTTTCGGATTTAATAAATACTAAAATTTTGGAAATTCATAAAACTCCAATTTCATCAAATTATCGCTCCAAACTTAATCCTAAACATATAATTATAATTATATGTTAATTTTCGGATTAAATAATTATGGAAATTATCAAAAACAAAATTTTTTCTAAAAATCCAATTTCATATTTTAAAAACATTTCTAATAACTTTAGGAACAATATTTGTAAAGGGGATTCCTCAAAATTCAAAATCTAAGAAAACCCTAATTTTTAAATCTTCAAAATCTCCTCAAATCTCTATGTTTTTATTGCCAAAACAATCCTCTAAACATTCCTTAAAAGTTTCGCAAAGAGATTTCGAAGAAATTCCAAAATTCTATAAAACCCTAGAATTTTCTTTTCCAAAAATCTAGAGATTGGGAGAGATTCGTTTGAAAATAATCATACATGAGTAATCCTCTCGTCGTCCTCTTCGATTTGACCTAAAACTTTCGCCGG